GTGACCGTGTACATTTGAGCTTTACTCCCTCTCTGACAAAGTGGAACATATGACAGTGACCTCTAAATAATTCATGTTAACATACTATTGTAGTCTACAATCGAAGCATAAGCTGCTTTCTTTAATGTTATCATAGGTTACTCATGCACCACATCAGAGACTGTCTTCCTGAGCTGAAGACGAGGATCAACGTGCTGGCAGCGCAGTATCAGTCTCTACTCAACAGTTACGGTGAACCTGTCGATGACAAGAGCTCCACGTTGCTGCAGCTCATCACCAAGTTTGCTGCAGAGTACTGCCACACCATAGAGGGCACAGCCAAGTACATTGAGACAGCTGAACTGTGAGTTACACAACACTGAACTGCATTTACCTTCATACACCACCAAAGGGTGCTAGTGTCATTACTCTCCTTAGTGCTCAGCTTAAACCAAATGCTGCCTGTATGTTTAATGGTGTTTGCTTTCCTCTTTCTTCAGATGTGGTGGTGCAAGAATCTGTTATATATTTCATGAAACGTTTGGTCGCACATTGGAGTCGGTTGATCCTCTTGGCGGTCTGACAACCATCGATGTGCTCACAGCAATCAGAAATGCAACGGTGGGTTGCTGCTACCTCTTCAGGATGTAATCTCTGTTTTAAATTAAACCTTTTTGAAGACGTAATTAAATGTAATTGTATTTGACAGGGCCCGAGGCCTGCTTTATTTGTGCCTGAGGTTTCCTTTGAGCTGCTTGTGAAGAGGCAGGTCAAGCGTCTGGAGGAGCCCAGCCTGCGCTGCGTGGAGCTGGTCCATGAGGAGATGCAGAGGATTATCCAACACTGCAGCAACTACAGCACACAGGTGAGAAATACACTCACACATGCACCATTTTAAAAACTAAATTACAGAGATCCAGTTTGCAGTAAATACAAAAAACTGCAGTGCATAATAGTAAAAGTGATTATTGTTTATGTCTGCAGGAGCTGCTGAGGTTTCCAAAGCTCCATGATGCCATTGTAGAAGTGGTCACCTCGTTACTCAGAAAAAGACTCCCTGTCACCAATGAAATGGTCAGAACCTGCTCACAGTAAATACCACTAAGAATTTGAATGGGAAGTTTGTGAGTTTTCTAGTCTGATGAATCAATTTTGGAATTTCACTTCAGGTTCACAACCTGGTTGCCATTGAGCTGGCCTACATCAACACCAAGCACCCAGACTTTGCTGATGCCTGCGGCCTCATGAACAATAACATAGAGGTAAGAGATGAGCATGAAAGTTGACTTTACATGAGACATGATTCAGTAAATGCAGTGTTTTTTGATCCTTAATCAGAATCTCAGACTGATAGTGTTGACTGTACAAATATGTGCTTTCTGAGCATTGATCATATTATTGAACAGCACTAGCAGAGCACAAAACAAAACAATGACACAGTATTATTTGAAACAATTTTTCAATTTGACGGAGTTGGTTGTTAAACTTTTTGCTTTATAGGAGCAGAGACGCAACAGAATGAGAGACCTCCCTGCTGGTGTCCCCAGAGACAAGGTACAGTCAGCATGCATAAGATTTACTACTCTTCTCATTTCTTGTAACAGGGTTTAACACATTTTCTACCACTCAAGCATATAAAGTTGGTCCTCTTTCACTAAAGAACTAACATCAAAACTTTTCTTTTTTTTTTGATTAAATCTAACAGTTCTTTCCCACATTGTGCAAAGCTCATGCACTTGTTGCATGTAGCGCCTGTCAGTTTTCTGTCCAATCTTTTCTTCCTGATGTTGTCTTTCTGTAGTCCTTTAAAGGCCCAGGTGGGCAATCTCTCTCCCCCACCGACCATCCTCCCCCCGAGAGTGAGGTTGCCAAGGTGTGTCTCGTTCAGTCGCTGCTTGTTCACATCTGACCTCTTTCCACCCCCAAGCCCGTACTGAATGACTCTAAAACCCGCGTTGCAGCGGGTGGTTGTTCTTCAGTGTTCAGTGGGTTGACGGGGCAGTTTTTACCCGTCATAAACTGACTGGCTGATCTGATCACTGACTTCCACTCTATGCATATTGAACATCTAACCCCTTTATTCTGCTTGGTGGTTGCCCTGACAGAAGAAATGCATTAACCCCAGACTCAATAGACCTTTTTATAGCAGCCAAATGAAAACTAACTAAGGTCCTTCATGTTTCATGTAGCAGAGCCTTTCCGGTGAGCCAACATGCACAAAAGCAGCACTCTGACTCTGTTTGACCTGAATGGAAGTGAGCCTTAATTAGTATCATTGGTAACACCTGTGTTTATCCTACTATTACATGTCAGAATGGCTGTGAAAAAGGTATATTGAAAAACTGTACTAGCTTTGGTGTGGGTGATGTGAACAAAATTTTCTATGATGATACATGTGCTATAACGGCTATATATATATATATATATATATATATATATATATATAAATGCATGTATATTTATATAAAATAATCAGATGGGAATGTCTGTTTTTGGCTAATCCTGTGAGTAAAATATCAATACCAATCACATTTAGGATTCTATCTAATCCTGTAAATCCAATGAGCATGGTGATTTCTTTGTAACATTGCCCACACTGGCCTAACGACCAGAAATGAAAGAGTGATGTCATGTCTGACATCCCTCAACCTTGGTGGTATAAGATGTTCATACTGCTTGTCAGTATTTTCCATCAGACTTCTTTTGATTGAACTTCTTTGGAGTGAAGTCAAATAAGTCCCGTGGCATGCAATTTGAATGCACTTTTGAATTCATATATATATTTTAATCTCTGTACAATATATTTTTTCATTTTTGTTTTGTGAACCTTGTTGATTTAACCTCTGTTCCCGACTTCTTATGCACATGTCACATTTCCAACCCTTTAAATTTCCTGAGCATTTATTCTACCGGACATATCCTCACCCCCCGTCTCTCTCCTCCCTGTAGGCAGCGGCTGGTAGCTCTCAGAGTGGCTCTGTCCCCGAGCAGACAGACAGTGGGACGGGGAACTGGAGGGGCATGTTGAAAAGAGGAGAGGAAAATACAGCTGGAGACAGGGCGGTGCCCCAACCCCTCTTCGCTTCCAGCCAACAGAAGGGCTACGCTGTCAACCTGCTAGATGTGGTGGGTACTCTGCATTCAAAGACTCGATGAATAGGTTTGGTCCCTGGCCCATAATGTTAGTCTGGTGATGTATTGGTGGTTAATTATATAGGATTTTATATGAGGAAGTCTTTCAGGGAGGGAGCTGAGGTACCACCTTACATCTTTTAGTAGGTGCCCCACTGAACAGTTTTATTCTTGCTTTTACCTTTGTTTACGTATGCATTTTCCAGGTTGAATCTTGGATCATTAAGATGTTCATTAATAATCACGTGTGATGCCCTTTCATTGCCAGCCTGTTCCAGTATCCAGGAAGTTGTCTGCTCGGGAGCAGAGGGACTGTGAGGTCATCGAGAGACTCATCAAGTCATACTTCCTTATCGTTCGGAAAAACATCCAGGACAGGTACACATACTCACTGCACAATTTCACCCATCATCTTCTCATTTTGAGATTTTGACATCTTTCTTAAAGGGTTTATTGTCCTCTTCTATCCTTTTTTTTAAAAATCTGACTTCCCCCTCTGTTGCTGTTGTTGTTGTTTGGCCTCAGTGTACCCAAGGCAGTGATGCACTTCCTGGTGAACCACGTGAAGGACTGCCTGCAGAGTGAGCTGGTGGGTCAGTTGTACAAGACGGCCCTGCTGAACGACCTGCTGACAGAGTCCGAGGACATGGCTCAGAGACGCAACGAGGCTGCTGATATGCTCAAGGTAACAGATCCATCAAGTGTCACTGTGGACCGCAAAGCCATTATCCAGTGTCAATCATACACTGCTAAATAAAACATTTACTTTACTTACTTTATTAGACACACAGCGTTTTGGTCATGGACCTTCAACAGGCATGTTTTTAAACTTTCTTCAGTATTCAGAAGTAAATCAAGACCATCTTCCCTTATTGAATTCCCTTATTAAAGGATTTAATAGCTTAAGACAATTTCAAGGAACTCAATAATAGGAAGATGTCTCAAATAATATTGTACATTCAGTGTATAAGTACTAGTTGATGTAGAAACAATGTACCCCAATATGTATAAAAAGGGCTATGCGTAGAGTATGAACATGACAGAGTTGTTGAATTTACACGGTTTCATCTGTTTGTCTCCTGCCCAGGCATTGCAGAAAGCTGGTCAGGTGATAGCAGAGATCAGAGAAACCCACATGTGGTGAGGGCGGCCTCTCTTCAGCAGGCTCTCTTCATCCCACATGGACCCTCGCCCTCTTGGACCATCGACCCCTTCTGTAACCCCTGCTGAGTCTCCCAGCACCTCAGACTGCCGAGACGGAACAAGTTGAAAATGCACTGGTGTGGATATGTGTATATCGAAACATAGTTTTAATGTACAGTAAGGACTTAATGACTTTATTGAAGGGCAGTACATATCGGTCCCTCGCCATCGGCATCACACATGCTCCTGCCCTAGATTATTCTATTTTTTCTTATGTAATTAAAACAATATATAGATAATGTTATGCATCACCACTATGTGGAGCCTTGCTGAGGAATGTCTGCTCTTAATGTAGATTTGAATTAAAGCTAGAAATAATAAACCCACGCTACATGTAGATGCTCTCTTTATCACGTCATGTCTTTTATGAGATGTTGACTAAATGTGTGTTTGCTGCTAATTGTTCCAAAGAACTGCACTTACGGTATTTTTATTAGGAAAGTACTCCACCATTTTTACACTGTTTCCTCTTAGTAAAAGCATTATATGGTGTGGATTACATTACATCAGACCCGTATTTGTGTTTTTGTTTACCTATCCTTATTCAACAAGATAACATTTATTGAGGTTTGAACACATTCAGTGAGCAGTTAGAGAAGCTGCTTAAGATTTTGTATAAACGTGTTATGTACTGTATGTGAGACAGAAAACAGACAACCTGCATAGTTTGCAGAGAGGCAGCAGAGTGGATGTAATGACCTATTTATTGTTTTGATGTCATGATAATTGACATGTAACCCAACACAACAGAAGAATGAATGCACACACAATAGACACATAGGCCAATCACTGGTGTGGCGGTCTGCCTCAGCGCCGTCTGGCTGCTCCTTTACCTCAGCCGGCCACCCATCTTGCCCTTGCCGCGACCTTTGGCGCTGAAAGGGTGCAGGTAAAACAAGACAGTGAGTTTAGCACAGATGGAGTGCATTCGATTGCAGCACTCAGCTGAACCAATAAAAGTGTGTGAACAGGGTGTAGTTTGGTTTGTACAATACTGATGGTAAGAAAAACAGAAACCCCACCCTGAACCACATGATGTGTTTTTAATCCTTCAAGACAAGCTCACACAGAAGTAATAAAATGTCCCCATGTGCGGGTATCTTTCCTGCAAATGGCATTATGACGGTACACAATGTTTCTGGAGATTGCAGCATATTAGCTCTCAGGCTTGCAGCCACTTTTCTGACATAAAATAAGTTTTGGTTGAATCAGAATTGTAAGAATACAGTAAAGGATTTGTGTCCCTAATGACATTGCAAATAAAAGCAGTTTCTTTCCTCTGATGTTTTGAAAGAGTCCTGTTCATGCTATTTATCAAAAGTATGCAGGCATAAATAATTGGACAACTTCTGCAGAGCTGTCTTTGCAATGGCTGTGTTGCAACTTGCTGCAGTCGTATTACACAGTACTCCTTTAAAATTACCATGCAGAGCTTGTCAGACACAACTTCGATGCAAACTTAACTGATTGAGATGGGGGGGGGGGTGGTGATGATGGGTTAGCTAAACTCTTTTCAGTTCTTGTGTTTTAACATTCAAAGAATATACTCAAGTGATAGTACTCTGTGGTCTCTGATGCATCCATGTTTATAATAGTAATAAAAAGTGTGAAGTGGTATTCGTATAAACTGGCATAATGGAAAAATTGATCTGTTTATCTGTTTAGTTCAGTGAAGATTTAGACCAGATGGTAAACAATCTAAGGAGAAAATTAAATCAGAGACAAGCCCAGCATCTAGTCTAACTGAAAACCAAGAGTAAATCCATCCAGGGGTTTGTGTACTTACCTCTGGTGGTCCTGGACTCGGGCAAGAAGCTGGTTAATCTGCAAGGACACACAAACCTTGCTAAGCATTTTACAGAACACAGATACCAGACATGTCCAGCAGAGGTTGCTAACAGAACCCTGGCACCTGGAAAACCCTCCTTATACCCAACATATCCATATTCCTGTAGTTTGTGATTATCAATTTGGTTGATTATTTTATGCTTATTTTAAGAAAGCTCTTTCTCAGATGGCCACACAGCTGCTGTTATTGCAGTCTCTGAACAGTTAAAGTGGCCCCATGTCTTCAGATGGCCCCATGTCTTCAGATGGCAAATCATATGTTGCCTATATATTCTATGTGAACAGTGATCATGATAGGAAGTTTGTCAACTTTATTCTCAGACCTCGCCAGTAAAATATAGGTGCACTGAAATTACAGTGACATCCTGGCTCAGGTAAGCTTGACATATAAATATTTACCTTTAACCTTTGAATATAAATTTAAATTGTACCTTTTACATTCTTTGTCTCAACATTTGAGACAAACTACATTACAGGGTCTACCACAAGTAATTTCTACAAGAATATATCCCTTAAATAACTAGAAAAAGATGGAACACTTATTTAAAAATATTTCAGGTTCTGTTTTTGTATGATTTCCATCTTGACTGAAGCTGATCTTCCACTTGTTTTGCCATCAAAGACGTCATCACTGAAGCACTTCCAGCTGTATGTTGGATGACTTACATCATACTTCTGTCTTTTCAGTTTCTCACTCAGATCAAACTTCTCAGCCTCCAGTCCCATCAGCCACTGCCACAGCTCGCTGGCCTTCTCCCTGAACACAAAACAATCGGAGGTCATAATGTAACCTTTGAGACAATGTTCGAATAGAAAACCCTGGGCAGCTTTGTCATACTTCAGTTTATCCTCATTCAGGTGATCAACACTGAGAGGCTTCCTGCGGTCAGCCAGGATCTTCTTCTTCTTTTCCCTCTCAGTTTGTTTCTTGCCTCCTTTTCTGCTCTCACCCTGTATTGGTCAGGTAAAGAAGATACATATGTTACAGTGACTGAAAAACATATGTAAATGTTTTGACTAATAACTGATTGAAATTGACTGTATTGTACTCAAATATTTTTTGGAAAAGCAAGATTGCCAAAGTAGCTTACAGTGATGCTGATATGGTACATGCAGGGAGGATATTTAAGTTTTAAGGCAGTCTGATAGATAGATCACCACGTCTAGGGGCATCCCTCTTTGGAGAGGGGTTGGTTTGCAGTGTGCATTCATGCATAAGTGGCTACAGTCAATAGTTACAGTCAGAATTGCCTGTTTGGTGATTCTGTGTAACAAAGTAAGTTGTCATTTTTGTACATCTACATATAGTCAAGCAACAGCCTGATTTCTGAGTTCTTTTTCCATGTTCATTTTGTTTCATATTGAAAACCTATAAGCCATGAGAAGTTGTCTGACCTTTTGTCCAGCACTGTACTGCTGGGTCATGTTTGAGAGGGCCTTCTTCTTCTTGGCATCATCATCATACTTCTTACGCTGCTCCTCCATCTCCTTCCGCTCCTTTTCCTCCTGTATGCAGCACAAGTCAGTCATTTAGAAGAGAAACAGATGGGTTTTTTTTCATGTTGGCTGTTATGATGTACTGTGGTGTGAGGATTTAATGTACGCTGAGACCATACCGCGAGTCTGGCCTGCCTCTCCTTCTCTCTCTCTGTCCGGACCCTTTGCTGCTCTGCTCTCTCAGCACGACGTTTCTCCTGTAAAAGAGACAGAGTCAAGGTGATTTTGACCAAACAGAAACGTGATTCCTCTTTGATCAACACACTCACAATTCTGTTAACAAGGGCGATGAGCTCCTCTTCCTCCTTCTTCCTCTGGATGAAGTGAGCCTCGATCAGAGACTGCAGCTCAGACAGATCCTTCTCCTGACGCTTCCTGTGGATGTCCTGCCATCAGGAAAACAAATCAGTGTTAGACGTTATGATGTTTTTATCTGATGTTTGTTTCTATAAAGAAGGAGGCATTTAATAGGGTTGACTCACATCGAAATCCACTTTGTCACCATCAGGGATCTTTGGGGCGGTAATATTTGTCATAAACCTGTGGAAGTGAACAGTTTATTACTGTCAAAACTGCCTTAAGTTGTGTTTTTAACTGCTTGACAAAAAGAAGAGCTAAGACACTTACTTAGGCTTGGGCTTTGACCCATCTTGCGCTGATGGTCGGGAACATAAATGATTAGTAAAATGTTTGGGAATTAAATGAAATTCAGTATATAAACACATGCTGCTTTCTTACCTTCTTCCTCCCTTTAGAAGAACAACAGCATTGACAATAGGAATAAGAATAATAAAAAGATAAATTAATAATTTGGAAAATCCCAAATATTGAGTCATAATTAGAAACAATATGAAAACACAAAAGTGTTAAAATGAGTACATACTGAACTTCCTCCTCCAGGACTTCTTCTGTGTCAGACATTTTGTTATGGATGAGCTCTGCAAAATGGATCCCTTTTAGTCTATTTTTAGACTGGCAAATATATCTGATCATTAAACAACACAGCAGAGCATGGGGTGGCAACAGTTCACACAGTTTACAATGACAGTACTGACCCAAATATCTGTGGTCACAGTGGCAGTAGTGGAAGAAGTATTGGGATCTTTTAGCAATACTGTCAACACCACGATACTAGTAAAAGTCCTGCGTTCAAACAATCGATTAAAATAACTTGTATTAGCGGTAAAATGTTCTTAGAATCAAAAACCAAAGTTCCCATTAGGAAATGTCTCATTTCAGAGTGTTAAATTAATGCTGCAAGCTGTAAAAAAAGAATTGCACTCATAATCTGAAAGGTAACTATTAGTTTCTGCAGCTGGAAGGTAATTTTAGAAGTAAATATCCTCAGTTACTTACACATGTAAGTTATTTACAGCTGTCAGATAAGTTTAGGGAAATAAGAAGGAAATGCTTCCCTGAAATGTGTTGAAGTACTATTAAGTGGCATCAAATTTATGTAAATATGTGCACTTAAAGACAGTGTTCAAGTGAATGAACTGAGTTTCTTTCTATTTATTATTACCCTTCAAATATTTATTTTATTTTGTGTCAGAGCAGGGTACACATACTTTAGGGGATTGTACAGTGGTACCACTAGTGAGAAGTGAGTAATCTCAATCATATAATAAGACTGAAACAACGTGTTGAATGTCCCTTACAGATCTTAGCAATCAGTGAACACAATTTAAACACACAGTTATCTCTAACTCAACAATCAGGAAACATTGTTTGCAAGATTTATGACTAAACAAGGCTTTCATTTCAAGTAGCAATACTGAGAGTCCTTACCTGTGAGCCAGACAGAGGGAGCTCAGAGACGGGCGACAGACTTCAGCTCCTTGAAGTTCACAACAGGTTGAGCATCAAGGATACATAGTCCAGCCCTTCTTACTCATGTGACCGCAGCACCCTATGGCTGGTCAGTCTATTGTTAGACAGCAGGAGCTCTGTCTCACACACACATGCACACACACACACACACACACACACACACACACATTGAGCAGGTACGTTCCTATCCTGGTAAAATGTCACATATCCATTCAAGCTTTCAACAGCAACTCAGGTTTCAACACTCCATCATTTCCCAAGCAGTTAGGAAGGACATGAAGCAATATTTCCTCCCAATCAAACTAAAATCAAAACAACGGAACACGCTTTTCTTTTTTTTTCTTTTTTATTGCTGAAGCAAGAACAAACAATAACTCTAAACATTCAAACAAAGCAATCAAACACAATAATACTGAAAGACTCACAATACATTTTTTTTGCAGGGTTGAATTCATGTGCACTGCTGACTGACAAGAACACCGGGGTACAATCTAAAGTTAATTACAGGCATTGTTCAAACAGAGTGCATATAAACCTTTATCGCTGCTGCATAAATAAACTGCAAACTGCAAAGTTAGTGGCATGTAAACTGATGATAGATAAGCAAGACCACTACCTGCTTGTTAAATAGTTTTGCATTTGGTCACTGAATAGTTGTTACAGTGGATACTCACTCAACTCGATACTCAAGTATTCATAGACTTTGTTGGTGTGTACATAATGATGTGAAAAGCTAACAAACCCAGGTGTTGTTGACAGACACACTGAAACGTTTGCACACTGTGGCTTTTTTTACATCTGTGGTGCCACTGATATCATCACCTAGCCTGAGGTGGTGGACTTCTGGGTACCGCGTTATAATAAGGCACCCATTATAAGGGGTTTATAAATTTTGTAACTACCCACTGTATAACTTTGAGCTGCTGGTGGCACTACATGAAAAGTCATCAAAGTCAGTAGGCTTCATTGTCTGGGCACCATGAATGTCTGTACCGGATTTCATGGCAATGCATCCCATCGTTGTTGAGATATTTCAGTCTAGACCAAAGAGGTGGGCCAACAGGCTGACCGGCATTGCCAACGCTTGAGCCGCAACACTAGTAAGCCAAAACATGCTCTCATTAGTGACTTATTCATCATTGATAAAGTCATTAGTTAGTATTTATAAACCCTTTATAAAGAGAATGTGGTGCTGACTTATGAAATGACTCAATTATGTACAGGCTAATCACCCAACATCCAGCTCAGTGGCAGTATACTCTAATAATTCAAATACAAGCTGTGAGATGGACATTAAACAGCCTATGTTATCACATGGAGTTAAAATAGTGACTATCATCCCTAAAAGCAGTGAGAGTGTATGAGAATAAATCACAAATGCTTATTATTGAGTATAAGCTGTATCACAAAAGAACTTACATGCCAGTGTGGCCTGAAATCAATATAACATTTAAGCATCCAGACAGCCATCTGAAATTTGTAAAGACTAATCTCGATTAAACCGATGGATACTACACAATCCATTAGCTATTAAGCATTTAACATGTGGTACTTTGTCCTGAAAACCCTCACCAGGTCTGACATATTCTCGGATTTGGGGACGGTGCAAAAGTTAATCATAAAGATACTGCTGGAATCCTCCGATGTCGCTTTTCCTGGTCCCTTGTCTGTTCCTCATTCTGGTGTAGACTTTATGTGAAATATGGGTACGTTGAAGGGAAATTGATGCACATACAGTAGCAGAGCCTTGTGATTGGTCAGGTAAGGCTTGATTTAAATGGGGATGTCAGTGGTTAGGGTCTCACGCCTGCTAATAGAAAGACAGACAGACATTTGGGTTCTATTAGTCAAAGCATCCATCATTTAAAACTGCATAACTTATCAAAGTTTATTAGGTGTCAAACAAGATTAGTCTCAGGGCTGTTAATCAAAGCTTTAATGTCCATACTATTGTCTATTGTCAGTGTTTTATCAGAGCCACTTCTACTATTGCTGACATATACCCTGCAGTCAAAGCCAGGGCACTTCTCTGTGTGATTGAAAGCTGGAACTTTGTCATTTGCCCTTTACTTCATTCCTCAGCGGGCTATTTCAGATGAAGAAATGGGGAGGTTATGAACAAGGACCGCTATTTAGGGTCGAAGCTGACACTCGACAAACACTTTTCCATTCCTATTGTTCGCACTTTGGCTCAAGCCCTGGGGGGCTTGATGTCAGAAGAAATGTGGTGTTTAAACACGAAGAAGAAAAACAGCTTTACAGTGCTATCATCAATTAATGTTTAATGTCTGTTTTCATGATTGATGGACATGTAAACTGTCCCAACAGACTTTAGGGATACATGTTAGGTCTTTATTATCAGCACTGAGTGAATAAGCCTGGTGATCGGGCCCGATTTGCTGCTTAAACGGTGAGTAATCCTCCCCAGTAGTCAGTTGTAATGTGAAAATCAAGCAGCTGCACTCTGGTATGCCTAACAGCGCGCCGACACCCTGCCTGGCATTGGACAGCCTTGATGGCACTGGGTGAACAGTGCACTGCAAAGACACGACAGCCATCTCAGGAGTTTGGAAGGTTCTTTATACTGGGAAACAAGGTCAGGGTGAGATTTTTTTAAATATAGACCACAGTGCCACAGAGCTGAGCCCGTGCCCAAAGATCTCTAGCAGCAGATTTGATTTATAGTGTGCAGCTAGTCTGGCACAAAGGAAGGTTGGTGAGTTGTAGTGGCTGTGAGTCCACAGGGAGCTATAAATCAGTCATGGCCTGCCCCCCCCCCCCCCATCGTCCAGAAAATGTTTTGAAGGACAGACACACCTCATCTAAACTCTGCTTCCCCCAGGACTGATCAAGATAAACCCTGGTTTAACATGTTGTATGCGCACATTTACACCCAGTGGTGGAGGAAGTATTCAGGTCCTTGTAAATGTGGAAATACCTCTACGTAAAGATACTTGATTTCAACAAAAGTCATTTTGGGAATACGCTTATTTATATTTTCTGCTGATGTGAAGTAAAAGTATTAGCAGAAGAGTAACTGTGCATTATTACATTTGAGCACTATTTACAGTTACTTAAGAAACTTACCACCAAACTTGCTCTTGCCTCCAACTGCCACCTGTAGACATGAAGGATTAAGAAGAAGGGAAAAAACAAAGCAAAGGGGGAAGACAAAAAACAATTATCCACATATTTAGTATTTTCAAATTTCATCCGCTGGTAGTGTTGAAACAAACTAAGCTTATTCTGGGATTCTTTTTGTGGACCACAGGATAAATAGCCTTTACCACACTGAAGCTAATGGAGATCCTAATGAAAGAAATGACATAAAAAACGTTGTTTCCTCTGTGGTTATATTTAATACCAAGAGAGCTGGAGTGACAGACTAACACATGTTATTGTATTTACTGTTAGAAACTGTCACATGAAACAAATGCAGTAAAATCCTACACCAGAGATCTTTTCAAAGCACCCTTGCCCTTAAAAATACATCATACACACCATTTAAACATAACCACATGCAGTCAACCATAATATCCTTACTGTAATGCAACTACTATCTTGGCACAAAAAAGCTGTGCACAGCGCAGCCAAAACATCTTGTAACAATATATAGATCGCATTCATGGATGAAAGTAACACAGGTTTCAAATTAACAACCACGTCATAGCCAAGGAAAACTATTTATGATTTCAAAGCCAGTGTGGGAACTAATGATAGCATGTACATAATATATTACAGTATGTGTGTGAGAGGGGGGACCAAGGGGAAATTCACACCAATGGTAGCCATGTCCTTCATCACATCAATTTCAGTTTAGGCAACTCAAGGAGAGGTTTTAAATTTAAAATACATATTTTTTTAACAAAAGATAATTATTGTGTTCAGACTAATGAGTTAGGGCCTCTATGAAAATCATCAGGGTGGGGGAAGGGGGTTGACTTTATGTTTCACTTTACATAAAAGGAAGGGCCTCCCCAGTGTTTTCTTTGGCTCCTCCCTTTGACTAAGAGACAAACTTCCTCCCCTTAGTATTTAGAAAAAACTGTTGGAGCAATTAGTTGACCATTACAAACTAAGCGCATAAAGACCAACAAGATACCAGTTGGTTTATTGTTTTTAAATATGATAAGATTGATGTCATCTGCATATGGCCGAACATGCCTATTCTGACCTGTTGTGCGCACAAAAGTTTTTGATATAAATTAATTGAATTGTTTTACAAGAAAACTCACATGTAAAGAATGAAATATAATAAAATCTGCTCTTCCAAAGAATTTCGACTAACCTCCCTTCAGCAACAAGAATACATGACCTCCCCTTTTTCTCACCCCTCTAATAATTTTTATACAGTCCCTTACTGAAAAATCTTATTGTTATCAAATGTACCTTTTGAGTTGACTGAACTGAGAAACAAACAACCCCAACAGTGTTGCCAGATTGGACTGACAAAAGAGACCAATCAAAACCTTAGCTGTAATGAACTGAAATGACTTGATGGTCATCAGTTATTAGTCAATGTTTGCCTAGCTGAGTTGACTGAGCTCACTGCCCTGTCAGTCTCAATCACACTACTTAGATTAGTGAAGGGACAGATTTATTGGAAAATAGCCATAGTTTTTGTTAGCAGAAAATCACACAAGTTGTACAAAAAGTGTCTCAAAGTATCACAACCCACCCAAACTATTTTTACCTGCTCAATTAAAGAAAAAAGTAGCCCAAATGGGTGGAACCTGGCCAATCTGGCAACATTGACCCCAGTCATATGCGTGCAGAGACAGCATTAAAAAAAAGGTGTAAACATCACAAATATCAATCACTCTGTGCTGGTGGAACGTGCATTGAGTGTTGTTGTCACAGATCCACAAATTACCTCTTTCACCTGTCTATTTGGTAGACTGAATGAAACAAACAAACAGGACCATGTCACTGTAAAGCCTTTAAAACATTAACATCTCCCCTCCTTTACAGTCGAGGTTTGAGTATGTTTTACCTTGGCAGGTGCAGAGCTCTTCTTGGTTTCCCACATGCCACGCTTGTTACCGATGTCACCTGGTTTCACATCCTGTCACAAATAAGACAAACCATGACCCCATTAGAAATACTAAATACAACAGTGTTAGCATAATTTATTTGTTGATTATAATTTGTATTAATAATAAAATGTTTCATAGTAATTAAAACACACAAATAAATAGGTAAAAAGTACAATATTTGCCTCTGAAATATAGATAGAAAGAAGCATAGCATGAAAATATTCAAGAAAAGTACTGGTACTTATTATTAGTATATTAGTTCATTACTTGAGTTAGTGTAGTAAAAGTAACATGTACTTTAACTAATACAATCAGTAATACTCTTTTCTGTGAGTAATATATGTGATGGATGTAATGGGGAAGGGAAGAAATAAAAACATATTCATATTCTTATATATATATATATTTGGATTAATCTCAAATCTAAATAACATAATCTGAGAAGTTTCAAGAGGAAACTCAACATCTGAAATGCAATAAACATCCCCAGCTAGATACTTTGTAGGAAGTCACAAGCCAAAAAGGTTGGGAACCTCTGGTTTATCTTTAGCAATGTATTGTGTTTTAAACGCTTAACCTCTTTTAATGTCAAATCTTTCTTTGACTAGTAACTAGTAGCAAGTGGAGTAAAAAGTACAACATTTCAGTCTAAAATGCAGTGCAGTAGAAGTATAAATTGGAATCAATGTAAATACTTGATTTAAATAACTCTAAATGATATTAGTACAGTACTGGTGTATAGGTACTTAATTACTTTCCACCACTGCGATGCAATTATTTAGCTTCTGATCATTGGTGATAGTTACGGTGAAAAGTGTGCAAAATGCTACCTTTACCAGTTTGAGGAGTGGACAAAGAGCAGTAGGAAAAGTTTGAGTGAGGAAAGCTGAGAAACAAAAGGGAGGGTGCATAGGGAAAGAAAGGCAGAAGAGAATTAAACGACACAGTAAAAATACAAAAGTAAATACAGAACAGATACAGACACTCATTGAACTGCTGTACAGCTTCTTTCCATAAGAGGGAGGTGTTGAAGCATAAGTAAGGGTAAGGTTATAACCACTGCTCTGGCCAAGACGTCTGACACTAAAGATATCTCGCTCATAAATTTGACGTTAGAACAATGTCGCACCTTATCCAGCAATGCCACTGCATGCGGACACAGTATAATGTCTCCAGGAGACCTGGTAAGATTAGCAGCTGGTGTCCTACTTTAAGAAAAGGGCACAGTGTCTACCAAGTACCCGGTTACAAGTGACCTCACCCTACTTACTGGTGCCATATGATGATAAATGAAGGAAATTAATCATTCAACATCTGCTCACTTGTTGTTTGTTGTTGTCAGTGTAGTGAAATATGATAATAACGTCTCTGTGTGTGACAAATGTGAAGGGACATGGCAATTTACCCTTGCCCGAAGGAGACTTTAAATATGGAGTCACAGTGAGACTGAAATGTAACTGTTTAAAACTACTGTATGGATAATGGGCTGTAACATAATCTAGAAATACCTACAGAGGCCACAGTGATTGATGTATAGAGCGGTGTAGAAACGGCTGTGCGAGGAGGTACATTGGCATTCAGCCACTTGACACTGCTGCTCTGTGCTTTGTGGTTCAACTGTTGTTAATATTCTTCTTCCATCCAATGACTTCCCACAGGTTTAGGCTTAAATACATGTATTAAAAAAAACGTTTCATATTGTGTAAAGAATAATACACAGAGGGTTCTTGGGGGCTTTGGTAGCTGGTGTTGTTAAGTAAACTGTCCATGTGGTGTCACTAGACTCCAGACAGCAACTTGGTCCAGTCTAGGATACAAAGGGAGAAGCCAACAAAAGACTGGCATGCTGATGCGCAAATGAGCACATTAGCGTGTACAGGATATCAAGGGATTACTCTACTGAAGTAACACTGGTGTCTAATTTACAATAGTGTGTGCGTGTGATCAAGTCAGGGGTTTATCAGACCTTACCGCTGGCTTTGCTGTTGCTGGTGATGCTGCTGCTGGTGCAGGTGCTGGTGCCTCTGTCTTCTCTGGGTCTGCAGGCTTTGCCATCCAACTGTTGACACGTCCAGCCACGCCTCCTTTGATACCAGCCACATCCTGGGGAAAGAGACACTCAATCACATGTCAGTAAATCTCTCTACCCCCCCCCCCTTCTCTGTTTCTCTCACCTTGTTGGCAGGAGCTGGACTCTCAGAGGAGCTGCCGACGTTGCCCTTTTCCCACATGCTCTTGATGCTGCGAGTTCCTCCTGTAGGAATATCTGCCATCGGAGACTTTGGGGATTTGACTTCTTTGTTTCCCTGAAATAGAGGATGGATTTAACTGCTTTTATATGGTTAAAAACAGCACTACATTGACTGAGGATCTGTAGTAGTTTAATGAGTATTTCCATTTTATTATGTTTTATTATATTTATGATCCCTTACCCTTTTGTTCTTCTACTTCTGCACCACTTCATTATAGGCAGATATTGACGTTTTATTTATTTATTTATAACATATATTTGACAGCTATAGTTGCTAATTACATTGCAGATTAAGATTTTACATTTAAATGCAAATGCACTGTGAAGACCAGTGGTTTACAACCTTTTTGGCTTGCAATCCCTTACAAAGATGCTCCTTCTTGAGAATGTATCAGTAGGTGTTCAAGACACAAAGAGGTTAGAATATTCAATATCTAACAAAAAAAAAAGAAAAAAATTCATTCCTATATCTAAAAAAATCTTCCACAGGTTTATCTCAAAACTAACTTAGCCTTTACCAGCTGCAACACACTGATGTATTAACAGTCTAATAATGTAATAAATATATTTTAGCTACAGGGACCTTTTTTTCTGCAAAATATGCACTTTTACTTTACTACTTGCTGATACTGTGCTTTTACTTAAATAGACGTTTGAATGCAGGACTTTGACATGTAATGGAGTATTTTAACATTGTTTTGCTGGTACTTTTACTTAAAGCTCCTACAAGGAACTGAAGAGATGGTAGGGTTTCTAGCGCCTTGTTTCATTGATTTCAAGGGGAATGTGACCAAATCTGAGAATGTCTTTATAGAAATAGCCAATGTTCTCAGTAATGGTCTTGTTTGTTTATAGGTCATATAGGTATAACCAGTTAAAAACTCCTCTTTATAATACAATTAAGTAAAGAATTTGAGTACTTCTTCCACCACTGCTAAGGATGGTGAATAACGCTGTCGAGTCTCACCTGGAGGGCAGAAGTGTACTGGTCTAGTCTGTTTCCAATCCTGGAGACAATTGGAGTGTGAGACACTCTGGCTGCAGTGCTGTGTGGATGAACAACACATTAGACATAAGTATAGCTCACCTATGTAAAAAAAGGTGTCTTGGTTTATTATTTTATTCAGATTTTACTGTAAAAATACCTTTTATGTCTCACCTTTTCTGGGCTGATTTGCTCAAGAATTCTGCCTTCTCCCCGATCTGTATAAAACAGCATAGTTATAAACCAGTCAGCCACTGACATGAAATAAAGGCACAAATAAATTTGGTTAGGTCAAGCTATCCTGGCTTCCTTCTCTCCAAGACCACCTCGCTGACAGACAGACTAGTCTGTCCCTGGGGAGCTCTGTCTGTACTTAGACACTGTGTTGGCTGCTTCCTGAGTGACTGAACTGTAGAGTCTGGCAGTATACACATACACACAGCTCTCTCACACACACACACACACACACACACACACACACACACACACACACACACACACACACACACACACACACACACACACACACACACACACACACACACACACACTGAGTACTGCTGTTCGAGATGAATTATACCTCCCATGTACGCACACAATTCTCAACATTCCTCCAAAAATACTCCAGCAAGAACATTGCCCAGTCATGGTCTTGGTCGACAACAGACTGCCAACAGCACAGTCGCCAGCTCATATCAAATGACAATATATGGGTAATATCAGAAGAATTAAAAACAGAAACTAGCAAAACAACCAACCACATTAGGCCACAAAACATGTTTGACCATAGAGGGAAAATGAGAATAACAATGTCTCAAAACTGGAAATAACAAATAAAAGCACATCTGTTGTTGCAATGGAATAAATTACCTTTAAATGCTATCAAACTGGTGGCATGTCAGTGCTTTATGGAATGGCTGGAGATTTGGGAAATACACTTTCTATGTGACAGTTAGATGAGAAGATCGATACCACTCTCATGTTTGTCTGTTAAATATGCTGATTCGCGTTGTTTAGCATAACATTACAAGATTGTAGACCACCTCCCAGCGCCTCTAAAGATCACTGATTAACACGTCATATCTCATTTTAGTCCATACCAAAGCCAAAGTATAGTAGCAAACATTGGCTGTTTTAAGGTGGTTACGTTCTGAAGTATATGGTGCAGCGACTTTCTTGAGTCTACGCTGGTTTCCTGGAAACCTGACAACAAGACTCATAGAGCATTAGAGGTTCTGGTAGGTGGATCTTTTAACCTTTGGAAACAAGAAAGAGCCATTGACCTTCTTGAATTAGTGTATTTCCCAAAAAGTTAAATTATTACACTTACAAATAGTTAATTGTGCTTTACAAACATCTGGAAAGCCCAACATGTGTCTCGTAGAAGTAGGTTGTGTGGCTCCCTGTGCTTTATCTAAATAGCAGTCCTGTCTACTACAGGAACTAGTTGTTCCAATCAACCTACTGACAGTTGGCTGTGGATTATCCAAAGTTACTGGGACACTTCTTTTAGGATATTGAATGAGCACCGTGATAAATCCATTTTGTATTTGGGTGCAAATATCAAACCTGGAAAAATAAAACCCAAATGGTCTATACGGCTACACACAAACCTCTAGACCAACTGAACCTTTGCTCCAAAACTCACCTTTGAGGAGCCTTTGGGACTGACAGCAAAGACAGGTTTTGTAGACTCTTCCTCCTTCTGTTTCTTCTTCTCTGCAGCCTCTGCCCTCCTCTTCTCTATCTCCTCCCTCATCCTCTTCCTCTCCTCCTGTTACAAACACGCAATTTGCTGTCACACAATTTGCTTCTCTCTTATCCACGATAAATGTCACATAACCAAATCAAAACAAAGTAAATTATGCTTTATACATTACATTTCTTATAATAATATAATATAATGGTATAGTAATTCCTGAATGTAAATCCATCCTCACCTGTTCTCTGGCTTTCTTTTCCTCCAGCTCCTGTTTCTTCTGCCTCTCCTCCTCCTCCATGATCTTCCTCCTCTCCTCTCTCTTCCTCTTCAGCTCCTCCAGCTCAGCCTCTGCGTCCTGCTGCTTCTGCTTCATCTTCTCAAACTCCTCGCTTTCTGCATCGTTTCGTCGGCGCTTCAGCTCCTGCAGTTTACGCTCAGCCTCCAGTCGCTCTTTGTCTTCTGTCTTGGTGGAGGGAGCATTGTCCCTGCTCACAAACACACAGTTATTTAATGAATACACATACAAACACACCTTCCTCAAATCAACTGCTGTTAAAAATGAGTTGACAATGATCATCATGAGAGCAGAGAGTGTTGGTTTCTAGAAGTGAGGATGCATTTTAGTAATTAAGACTTATTCTAGTCTTAAAGTGTATAAAAATACGAAGAGTTTACAACATGATAGCAGCTGTGTGAGACTGACTGTACTGGTACTTTGAGCTAAATGCTAACCTGCACAAAATGTTTGCCAGATATAAACTTTACCATGTTCATCTTCCTAGCTTAGCATATTAGCATGCTAACATTTGGTAATTAGCCATTAACTCAAAGTACAGCTGAGGCTGATGGGAGTGTAATTTGTCCTGTAGGTTTTTGGTCATAAATCGAAGTATTGGACAAACTAAAATCTTGACGCTGAAGGTGGTGCTAGAGGTAAAGTCAAGGGATCACCAAAGTTAATGGGATTAATCCTCCAGTGACTATGAATGCCCAAATGTACAACATTTCATGACATCCATCCAATAATGGTTGAGATATTCCAGTCTGGGCCAAAGTGGTGGACCAACAAGTATGAGTATGGACAAAGATGAAAAAGAGAGTAATGTTTGAAGATGCATGTTTAAAACTTTAAAGGTCCAGTGTGTAACATTTAGGAGGATCTGTTGGCAGAAATGGAATATAATATTCAAATGTATTTTTTCATTTGTCTATAATCACCTGAAGATAAGAATTAGGCCTGTTGTGTTTTAATCTTAGAATGAGCCATTATATCTACAGACACTGTGGGTCGCCTTCCATGGACAGTAGCCCGGAACGGACAAACCAAATACTGGCTCAAGAAAGGAATTTGTGTTTTGACCACGGTAGTTTCTCCTACCCTCTTTACAGCCCGTTCTCATTCCGAGGTTTTCAAATACAAACATGAGTGGTGTTCAGTTAGTTGCAATCTGAAACTTCACCACTAGATGTCACTAAATACTACACACTGGTCCTTTGTTCATATTGGAATAAGAGATCTGTCCAACTTTACCTTGATGTCTTCTCTGTTTTCTTAAGTCTGTTCTCAATGAGAGCTCCGTTCTGTTTGGCTGGTTCATTCTTTCAAAGAGGAACAAAAGTCATACATTAAAACACTGTTCTAACTATATCTTGCATATTAGAGAAGGATTCATTATTAAATGACAATCATGTTTTACCTTTTCCTTAAAACCAAATCTCTTCGGCTTCTCTTCCTTTACACAGAAGACAGAAATGGAGGAAAAATAATAAGAAACAGGAGGCTCAGTGGAAACATATAATGTCAAAAAAAGCCACAAAAAAGCCATCAAACACTGTTGCAATCCAAGGCCTGGTAGTGAATGCAACACAGATAAACTGAAGTCACTGTGACATCCACAACACCAGCACCCTCTTGTATCCATGTGGCAACAAAACACTGGGACTTCACAGTGATCTGTGACCACACCAACAGTAAATGACAGCAAAGTGAGAACAAAGCCTGGATAAATCAAAAGTGGCCGTCCACTGCCACTTAATCTAAGGATTAAGGACTCATGTTAGTACATTACATGTCTGTATTCTTACTTTACAGATGGGGATGTTAATACCAGGCTTCATTTGAGGTTTCTGAAGTGGCTGTTGGAGAAAACAGCAATAAATTACATCAATACCTCCTCTTTCTTCTTCTTCTCTTCCATCTCTCTCTTTTTGCGCTTATCCTCTTCCTCTTTTTTCTTTTTCTCTTCAGCCTCCTTTTTCCGCTTTTCCTCCTCTTCTTTCTTCTTTTCTTCCAACTCCTTTTTCCGTCTCTCTTCCTCTTCTTTCTTCTTCTTCTCCTCCAGCTCTTTCTTCTTCTGCTTCTCTTCCTCCTCCTTTTTCTTCTTCCCTTCCATCTCTTCCTTCTTCTTCTTTTCCTCCAACTCCTTTTTTAGTTTTTCTTCTTCTTTCTTCTGTCTCTCTTCCATCTCCTTTTTCTGTTTTTCCTCTTCCTCTTTTCTCAGACTCTCTTCTGCTTTCTTTTGTTGTTTTTCCTCCTCTTCCCTTTTCTTTCTTTCCTCCTCCTCCTCCTTTAGCTTCCTTTCTTCTTCCTCTTTCTTGCGCTTTTCCTCCATTTCCCTTTTTTGCTTTTCCTCCTCTTCTATCCTCAGCTTTTCTTCCATTTCTTTTTTCTGTCTTTCCTCTTCTTCTTTCCTCTTCCTTTCTTCTTCCTCCTTGTCAACATCAGGGGAAGCTTCCTCTTCAGCATCTTTCTTTCCTGAATCGGGCTGCTCGACCTCTACTTCTGTTGCTGCAGCCTTCTCCTCAGTCTCCTCCTATAAAATAAGTAACATTTGTTTTGTGTTAATTTATATACGTTTTTTAATGCAATTAAATCAAATCAAAAATCTATAATAAGACATTTGTTGTTTTTGATTCCTCAACAGATTCCTGTCAAGAGAAAAAACACAAAACAGATATGACATCTTTCACTTTACCTTCTCATCTTCCTTCTTGTCTTCTTCCTCTTTGCTCCAGGAGTTTGTATCAGTGCCTGCCACCTCGCCTGGAGCTGGTTTCTCCTCCTCTTCCTCTGTATTTTGCTGTCTGCTGCTGCTTATGGAGGACTCCTCAAGTGTGCCATCTGTGCCATTGGTGTCAGTGATGGTGGGGTCAAACTCCTTCTGCCTCTCCATGGCTTCCTTCATTCTCTTCTGCCTGCGCTCCTCCCTTTTGGCCAGGCGCTCCAGCAAAACCTGGTCATCATCTGCACCTTCGGCACTGGTTGTGATGGAGGTTTCCATCACACTGTAAGCACATAAAATACAAGTTGAAGCTCCAAATTTCCATTGCAATTAAATATTTTTTCCAAACTGCTTTATATTATATTATATTATAATTTATTTATTTATAATTATTTCTCCAACTGTCTTCACTGTTGTCTATGATGCCATTCATTTGTGCAGGCGTAAGGAGAAGAAAGTACAGATATTATTGTGAAAACTGAGGAGGTAAAAGTAAAAAGTAAATACATACTTGAGTACAGATGTCTGAAAAAAGAGTACAATAACAAAGTATTTGGACTTTGTTACTTCCCACTTCTGTAAGTGGCTAAATAACTGTGCTAATCTAACTGCAGCAGATATGTTGAAATTGCAGTTTCATGGTCAATAGAGCAAAATTAGCAAAGTATCGATGGCATGTATAACTGTATGATAGCACTGTTTACTTTTAATGGCTGCAGTCAACAGTCAATAGCTACACTAAACCTTTAAACTGTAGATCCTGCAGACAACAGGCTGTTGGTCCTGAACATAACTGGGGATAAACAAGTACTGAGAGCAGCATTCTGTAAATCCACCCAGCTTACTGGTAGGAAAATCCACTTCCATCCTCTCTACTGTCCAACAAATGACAACTCTTCTTTTTCTACTTTGGTCTACAGCTGTTTATGGTGCAGCTTTAACTCGCTTATAGAAAGAACAACTGTTTTATGAATACTACCTCCTTGTTTTCCTGGTTTGTCCCACTACACTCTAAAGACAATGAAAAGTTATCACTATCAACTTATTTCGTCAAGGGGCGTGTCTGTGCATCTCCCTCCTTTGTAGCTCGATAATAGCAGGACTCTGTTACAACTCAGGAATCAAACAAAACAAAACTTTATCAGGGATTTGGGTGAAACTGGATCATATTTTATGAAGAAACTATTGCTAACTGCAAAGACAGACAGAGGACAGTTTGACGACAGCGGTACCATAATTTCATCAGAAGTTGTCATAACTCAAAAGTTGAGTTATATATTTTTGTTGAGCCAAAACAATTGAAAGGTCAGCAAAGCCTGACAATAGAGGCTGCGGAAGACAACATAGCACTGAAAAACATGCCAGTGGAGGACACTATAGGCTACTGGTTGGAACGGAGGAGTCATGCTGGACCCCCGTTGTTCCTTTTCTGGATGAGAGAGATTAAGAAACATATTTACAAAAGTTTTATTTATATAAGTTGTTATACCGGTATTTACAAGTACGGATATTGGCACATATCATAAAAAGTTCATTATCAGAGCATTACTGTAACAAAACATGTTTTTTTCTACTTCATATCTATATATGTTAAATGTTTTTCTGTTGTTTTTTCTTTTATCTGAATCTTTATGCTGCTGCCTTGGACAGGATTCCCTGGTAAAATAATCTCATTGGGAATATTCCCTGGTAAAGTGAAGCTAAAGTTATTCAGTTAACCCTCTGTGTGTCAGTGACATGAAAGGACATTTTAAAACGAAAGAGCTGCCATATTGGAGGAGAGAGAATAACTGAACTCAACTTCAAAATTGGTTATATACCCATAGATCTACATTGTACCTGTTAGTGTCAATCACATCAGTGGTTCCAGGCTCATCTGTGTCCCTCATCTTCTTTCTCTCCTCCCTTGCACGTCTCCTTCGCTCCCGAGCTTCCTCCTCATCATCATCGTTGGTGCAACCCACACTGAAATAAAATAAAATATAGATGCATAGTACATGTGTTTGTACTCCAAAATGAGACATGCATTTGAATATAAGAAGAAGAAGTAAAAGTTATAGTAATTAGTGGTAGTTAATACTCACTAATGAATTTAAAGTTGCATAAATTCAACAAATGGATACCAAATAGATTAAATAGTAAATGTAACAATTTTTTTCTATACATAATTACACAGTTTCCATGTTTGTAGCTGTTAAAGTATACTGTAAATAAGATCTGCTTGTGACCTCTTATTTTAGGTTATGATCTTAAAGTATTCAGTGATATACACCACACTGTCTCAAGCAATAAGACATGATGGAGACGGGAGATGCCCCACAGATGAAAAAAGACTAAGACATAATAAGAAACACATTCTACATTTGTCTGAGATCTAAATGTCACAAGAAGAAATTGAAGTGGAAGGAATGACCCCATGGCAACACATTTAATCAGAGACAGAGGCAGTGCTGGGTGGAAAAGAGGAAGATAAAGAGATAAAGATGAGGACAAAATCACCAACTCTGGACAAAAGAATCTTTACACTCTCCTGTCCTCCTCATCTCACTCACATCCTGCCATTGACCTTCATCCACAGTGGGACTTTTGAGCTTGCCAGGTTGTATGTTTCCAAGTACTACCAGGCTTTATGAGGCACGGAGAAAGCTTGAAATGGCTCATTGATAGAGCACGGGTATTATTTCTCTCTGCTCTTCACGCAATGATTTACAGATGTTATGAGAGGAGGTGATGGGAACCACAAGAATCCTTTATGTCTTTAAAACAGAAACAAAGACTCAAACAAGGCTGAAATCCAACAAATCCTCAGGCAAACTTTCCTCCAAATGGCATGGGTCGCCTCAAGGAATCACTGAGGAAGTAATTCAATTCGATAAAACTCCACCCAAAGCTGGAAGCCTGCTGTGAGAATGCTGTCAAAATGTTACATTTCTAGACGACCAACCTGAGGGACATGAAACATAATAAATGAACGGAAATATGATGAGAGCTTCTTGGCTCAGAGAAAAAAAACGTGGTGTGATGAAGGAAAAGAGATTAACTCGAATTGTCAGAAGCATTCAGAGAAGCCTATCTTGTGCTGAAATAAAAATGGCAGTCAAAACATTCCAGCGTCTGCAGAATTTCCTCGGGCTGCAGAAAGGAGCCGAGAGGCTGGGTTGGCACTGCTGGCAGGGCTGGCTGCAGGACTGTGAGAAAATTGTTAGGAATGCCTTTTTTCACTGAGGCTCTGATAGGACGTCTGATATGACAACAACTGACTTCCGAACTAGAAGAAAATAATGTGTTGAGATGTTATTGATTGTACGGACACACTGACTATCTGATCATGGCCTAATGTTACCACTAACCCTTAAAAGATAAAAGTTACAATATTCTTAACAAATTCAACGAAGACACCAAAACCAACTTTATACTGTATGTGTTAGTTTGTCTCTGAGTATTTTCTGACACCCCCAACCTGTCTGTAGCACTCATGCTCAAAGCCCATTCATTAAGAGTAAAAAGATGTATTAGGAACTATTTTCAGCAGTGGTTTAATACACATTTGGCACTATAGTGTTATAGTATTTACTGCAGCAAGACTGTGTATGTGGGATTGATTAAAAACAAACTACATTGGCAATATTCATTGTAATAAAGACAATGTCACTCAGCCTTTGAAGGATCAATTTATTGCAGTTTTTTAAAGGGATCTTTTGAAAATAAATAATTCCTGTTTTTATTTTGTGGTTAGTTTGAGTGTCTGTGGGCTCTGAGTAGTAGCTCAGTGATTGATTAAGCTGCAGCTGACAGCTACAGGTGTCAGCAATTGTGCTTATACTTGAAGTTGAATCAGATTGTTAATTTGGTTTATATTGTTATTGTACTGTGAATAACACAGTTAATACTAAGCAGGCAACCTTTACTTCTGCACTCCCCTACAGTTTATATCCCTGTAGATCACTTTCCTTTTTCCCTTTTCCTTCTTATTATGTCATAAGATACAGTCTAAAGCATCAAATCTGCAAGTTTACACTTGTGAGTAACCATCTTACTGTAGAACGGATATTAGCAATAACTCTTTGATATTTATCTGAGCACAAGGAGAGATGGAGGGAGACGGCAGAGAGTGAGAAAACAAATCCAAACAGCAGCTCAGTCCCTAATGAACGAAAAAGGCAGAGGAGATCATTAAACCGTCATCGCCTGGTCTCCATCCAAGTCTTGTCTGCTGTACTCTTCGCAGGTACTCACAACTCTCTCATGCAAAAATGCATAAACCCAAAGACAGACAAATACACACAGTAAGCCTTGACCATTGAGCATCTGTCTCCAAGACACTGCATAGCTAAAGGATCATTAGAAGACCAAGAAAAAATATTAGAGAAGAAACATGTTAAATACCTCTACATTGGTTCATTGCACAATGGTAAAGGTAAGGTACATAGGTTTACATGGCTTTTGCACACTGCACAGTACAGGTCAGACTTCCCTGTGAGCAGCTGGTGTCTAATAACGCTAGCAGCGACTGTACATGTGGTTTATAAAAGCAGGGGAATGTTAGACCCTGCTTATCAAATAAGGTGCACTGAAGCTGAAAGCGTATCAGGTTTGTTTTGTGCCAAACACTGACAAAAACAAATGAGGCTTTAATTTAAGATGTCGTGGTGTAGGATGTCCTTTTATAGCATTTGTACAATTTTTACCATGCATTCACTTTTTGTTCTGCAAAATCCAGCTGGTGTTTGAGTGTGCATGTCCATTACATGTGTGCTTGTCCTGTCCGGACATATGTTTATATGTTTATATGTTCTTAGAGGGTTTACTCACTTATCAGCCTCGTGGCGCATCTGCTCTCTCCTCTGCCTCCTCAGCTCCATGCGGCGGTCAAACTCATCGTCCATGATGCCCAAAAGATTCTCCTCACTTTCTCACTGAAAGACACAATCGTGACATCAAATCATGTGTTTTAAATCCTGTACAATCAGTCACTCATCAATTGGTTTATTTTGGATCATACTTCAACAGGAGAAACATTTGCTTAGGAAAATCTTCTAATTTCTGCTTTGCATTTGCTTTCCTGTACATTGGGATCCAACTAAATCTAATTTCATCATCAAAGTAACTTCTCAACATTGTGAGGTTTAATACTAACAGACCCTCACTGTGACAAAGAAAACATGCTAAATTAAATTTTTTAAAAGTTATTCATAAATATACACACATCAAAATAAAGGGGGCCACCCAAGACAGTTTCATGGCATGGATAGAAATGAATAAAGAACTACAGTGCCTGTTGGTTTACAATACCTTAGCAGTAGCTGAAGTTTAGTCCATGAACAGCAGTGTCTCCCCTCTCTTCATACATCAACTTCTACAGTCTGGTTTATATCTCAGCCCTTCTGCAGCACAAAGAATTCCTGCTTGTTCTTTCAGCGACTTTAACTACCAGAAAAGGCAAAGCCTGCCTCTCTGCTCCCCTCTCTTTCTCTCTCAGCCTCCCTCCTCCTCCTCAACCTGACTCCTGCTCTCTCCCCCTGCCTCACTTTACCCTCCCTGATCTCTGACTTCAGACTCTCTCAAACTATTGCCCCTGGTCTGCCTTGTTTTATCCTGCTTTCTTTCTGTCTGTCTGATGTAGCTGTTGTAAAATGTATCAGTTTAACCCTGTTTCCTTAAAGGCCCTTTTGTTAGCCACCAAATAAGAAATCCATCTTAAATCATCTTGAATCAACTAATAATTGTCTTTGCTCAGATCCACTGTCCAGATTACCACACACAGACATCAGGCATCATAGCAGTCTTTGTATTAGATTCTAGAGAGGAGTTACATAAATTTCCAAGTTGTTAAGGACTTTCAGGATCAAAAGCATTTAGATTCAGAGTTGATCCATGACATGCAGCCTAAAAGAAAACCAAAATAGTCTTTAAGAGTCTGGTTTAAGACAACAGAGTAATCTATGCACGGCATCTGTGCGAGTCCAAGAAAAACCAAAACAGAATATCATTTGTTCTCTCTTGCAAACACTTGTGACAATGTCTCTGGCTTTTGAGACAGGCATTAAAGGACCAGTGTGTAGGATTTAGTGGCACCTAGCGGTGTAGTTGAAGATTGCAACTCTCTCGCTTCCCCTCCAAGTGTGAAGAAGAAACTACAGGGGTTGCGAAAAAAACATATTTAGAGTCTTTGGTTTGTCCATTCCAGGCTACAGTAGAAACACTGCAGTTCATGGGAGGTGACCAAACCAACAAACATAAACATAACAATTCATATTTTCAGGTGATTATACACAACATGAAAACATACCTATGAATATTATATTCCATGCTGCCAATAGATCCTCCCAAATCTTAAACACAGGACCTTTAGGCCCCTGGAAAAATTCCTCCTGAATGAAGGTGGAGGCCTATAATATCCTATTCACTGAAAAGCCTGTTATACAGGATAATTTTATTCGAATTGTAGAGGCTGGACAGGCGTGATATCTCTGAGAAAAGTACCCCTCATTCATCATAATAATCATTAACTGCCGCTGCTGTTGTAGTGCAGATCTACTGAAACTCCACTGGCGTCAGATAGTATATAATCTACAATTGAGTGTGTATCTAATAAGGAAATAATAAAATCTGAAGTTTTGCCCACACTGGTAGGGGGTAATTTCCCAAAGCTTCCCAAAGACCACAACTTCCTGAGCCAAGTCACAATCTGCAAACCCTTCTGGCTATAGAGCAAGAAATCAGACGCATAACCTTGAGTGTTCATAGATAAAATCTTGTGAATAAATTGAGCATATCCTTAGATGCAATATCAACTTCTTGGGCTGAAGAATTAACTACATCATTCATCTATGGCCTTTAAGACAGTTTGGGTAGCTCTGTGTTAACACCTTTAGCCGTGAGAGCCAATTCCAAAGCACTGCCAATAAAAACGCTTCATCAAATGTATTTTTTCTTACATGGAACATTTACCAGCTGCACAATAAGCAGCTGCCATCAACCATCTTTTGCAACCTTGTATAAGTCTGTAAGAAAGCCTGCCAGTAACTCCAGCCAACAGATACAATGAACTGCAGTGTGAAAGTAGGAACAGTGAAGGTATGATTTCAGAGCAATTCTGTCCCAACCAGAGGAGGAAGGAAAATTAAACCAGCAAACTAACACATATAATTCAGCATGAAGTGTTTAGTTTGATTACTGGATGTCTGTTGTCTCTAAGGAATCCACTTTTAAACGTATACTACTTTTTTTTCTTTTACATATTTACTGTATAAAGAAATAAACTGTCCAACAAACTTCTTCTTAACATATGCCACAATCATTATGGCTGGGAACATTTCAGACGAAGTTGCAGTATCTATGTAGCGTTACCCAGTTATTACAACTAGCAAACTTTGTACACCTTCAGAATTAATTGTTGGGACTTAAATTTAAGTTAAGGAACAAACTTATGCCACAAACTGTAATTGTGTATGTTAATATGGTTCACAAACCTATTTCAGTGCCAGACTGATGAGTGTGAATTCTGAGGACGTACAAAGACATCCAACAGTTCATCCCTAAACAGGATCAATAATACAAATTCTAAAAACTAAACTATTGTTTATAAGAAACCTCTTGCAGCAATTAAAGTGCCTCATATATGTTGGGACATCCTGAGCCAGGAAAAACATTAGCTTAGTTTTTAGTCAGGCTTTGATATCTTTTGTTGGTGGTTCCCTTAATATACTGAAAATGGGTCTAATGACAGTGGTGAATGAAACCTCCATCCAACTACTGCGAGTCCAGGATCAAAAAGTCTGCGCACACACACACACACACAACTCATTTGTTTGACATTTGAGGACACGCTGAAAGAAAATGATATGGGGAAAGTTTCTGGCCTGAAACCACGCATCAATCTTCTTCTATAACAACATACCAACGAATACTGGGAATCAAGATGATGTGAGCTCACAGAGTCAAGCTGATTTTACTTTTTTATATAATGTGTGTTTTCTCTCCTCACTGTATGTCCCAACCAGTCACTAGCAGTGTAGCACAGCTTGTGTTATCAGAGTTGATTATATGAGGTAATGTAACACTACGCATTGTCACAAAGAGGGCTACTTGAGCACCGTCCCTTTATTTAGGTATCTGTATCTTCAGATCTGACAAGGAGCCCACCAACAGTGAGCAGCCGGTCATAATGGAGCAGATGGATATAACAGTTTAGTTTTTACAATGGGCGATACCATATACAGTCACAATGGCCTATAAACAAGACTGGGTCAAAAGAGATCTTTTTTTAAAACATCCACTACATGGCTAGTAACAGTTGAGAGCTTTCCTGGAAAAGGCCAGCACTTTCACACATCACTTCCCTGGAAAACAAGAAAGTGATTAACTGAAACCCATATTTAGCATAAAACATTTGGAGAGGTGGTTGCTGTTAATCTATAAAACAAAATTATCTGTAGTCCGGAAATAAAACACAAAAACAAAGATCAAGAGAGTGTACTGAGTGAATTTTTGGGGCAAACCTTTGTGCAGACGTGTATGGTTCCAGACAATAAATCCTAATATATTTGATGATCCTTTGACTTTTTCCTCTAGCACAACCATAAGTTATTGGATGGATTGCTGTGAAATTTGGTCCCCTTAGGATGAAGTGTAACTTTTCCTCGAGTGCCATCAGGTCAAAATGTTAATTCAGAATGGAATAAAGTTTATTGTAATGTATAAAATCAGACACAGTACAATGTATAGTGAAATTTGTCCACTACATTTAACCCATCTCGATACAAGGAGCAATGTGCGGCCACAGGGACCAAATCCAGATCTAAGCCAGAGACTTGGTCATGGGTACTGACTGGAGAATTAACATAATACTATGTTTTGATGGTGGGGGAAACAGGAGCATCTGGAGGAAAACCACACAAACACAGAGGGAGAATATGCAAACCACACAGGGCCTGCTCCAGGACCTTCTTGCTGTGAGACGACAGTGTTAACCACTGAGCCACCGTGCTGTCCAATACTCGTCCAATATTTGTCCAATACTTTGGTTTATGGCCAAATACCTGCAAACCAGGGATGTAAGACCCACCGGTTTGCATCGGTGCACTGACATTAAAGCTCAAGATGCAATACAGCACTCACCCCTCCTTCCCAACATCCTTCATCATTACACAAGTGTCCCTCACAGCGATGATAGGAGGTATTCTAGCTATGTGGTCTCCTGTACAGCAACGCCAAACTAAAATCAGTCAACTATCATGTCAAGGGCATCTATTGTCCTAAAGATATGCAATGATAATGAACACAACAGTTAATTTTGTTCTTTGGCATCATCACATTCACCTTTGAACAACCTCATTTGTGTGGACATCACCTACATTTCTTATAAAAGCATTTTTCTATGGGGGTGAAGCCCTAACATCATTGCAACATAATTCCTCTCACATTCAAACATGAGACAAACTGTTATCCATCACTCTCTCACATCTGTTCTTATATGGGATCAATTAGGGCTGGTCTGTTTTGTAAGTCAGGAGCTGGAGCGTTGTGGCCTCTATGGAGCAGCAAAGACAGACTGACCTGCAGGCTAACAGCTCACAGACATGTCAGAGTCATGATCCAGGCCTGTTTGGATTGGCCTGGGTCCAGCAGGGCCGGCAAGTTCTGCATTTCTAAAGTTTAAAAACTCGACACTCTGGCAGCTAGAGGTGAATGCTTTTCTACCCCCCACTTTGGTCCCCATAACAGCTGCCCCATCAGTCACCACACAGGTAATTTGTATGGATTAGATGGGTGCTGTTGGTGGTGAATTATTCCCTCTCTAACACTGAAATAATCCAAATCTAAGTCCCCCTTAGATGAAAGCACTGATCATACTGACATTTTAGTTCAGATAGAAGTGTCTGTGCCTACCCGAGACACTGAAACAGTCCCTTAA